TTTGCGGTTTCCGCATCCGATGAGTTATGTGGTGGTGGTGGTGGTGAAAAGTCAAACAACAGCAAATTACCGTTACTGTCTCAATCACCCTTACCTCCCCCTCCCCCGGATTTCCCCAATCAAACAAATTTACCGGGAAAAACGAATTTTCTTAATGGTGGTAATAATCACGTTGTAAAAACAAACGCGGGAATCGTTCCTCAGGTATAAAACCCACCCCCACCCCCCAAAAAATAATTATTAAATGATAATAATAATATTTACCTTATTTAAAAATGTTGTCTCTCACCGAACAAACGATAACCAACCAAAAAAAAAATTAAAATCGATCGATCGATCGATCGACTCGATCGATATATCGTTTTTTTTTTTAAATTTAAATTTTCGCGATCTCACTTTTTTTCCTTTTATTCACTTTTTTTTTTTTTGTTTCGATAAAAATTTATCGATAACGTACTATCCGAAAATGAGTTACAAAAACAAACAAACAAACAACGAAACAAACAATAAAAAAAAATTTGTACGCGGATTTTGTTTTTGTAAAACAAAAAAAAAATTAAAAAACAAACAAAAGGAAAACAAAAAAAAAGAAAAATTCGATTTAAAAAAAAAAATCGATAATAATTCGATATAAAACTCTAAATAAAAAACTCGAATCGATGTTACAACGTCGAGAGTCGAATGCAAACTAAAAAAACGATTCGAGTATTTTTTTTTTTCTTACTCGCGGTTCGAATACACCAAAGTTTCCGTCGTATAAAACAACCAACCGTCGCGTACGTTTGTTACAAACGAACAAACGATTTAAAACGTATACTGGTACTTGATACAACAACCATACAACCATACACTCGTTTTCTAGTATGATTTTTTTTTTTTTCAAATAATCAGGATCGTAGGTAGGTTTTTTACAAAAAAATTAAGATGCGAGAAATTTTTTTTTGTTTTTAGAAAAAGGAAACGGAAATCGAATTTTTTTCATTTTTTTTCCAATTGTTCTTTTTTTTTTTTTAACCGTCGTGACTCTAAAACCCGAATACATAATCAGATAACTTTTGTTTTTTTTTTGTTTTTTTTCTAAAATTCTAGTTCCACTTTTTTCTTTTTTTTTTTTTTTGCTCGATTTCGATGGCTGACGGAATCTAGTTTGACGAGATTAATCTTCTTTTGTTTTTAACTATTTATTACTCTTAATTTTTCTTATTCTCGTTTTTATCGTCTTCTTCTTATTGTTTTTTATAAAAGAAAAGTGTCAAAGGTTCATTTTTAATTTTTTTTTGGTTGTTAATACGTGATTGATAAACGTTTTTTATTCTTAAACCTTTCATTGTTTTCTTTTTTTCCTTTAATAATTGATATTATGTATTATTGTCCGAATTTTGACGATCGATTTCGTTTTAATTGTATACCTGAAATTCATCATCATTATCATTACCTCCGCAACCATCACCATTATTATCATCATCAACATCATCTTTACTATCATCATCATCATTATCACCATCACTGTAACTATCATCATCATATCGTCAATACTATCATCAATACCATCACCATCACTTTCATCATCATCATCTTCATCACCAACATCACCACCACCATCACCTTCATCATCATCATCATCATCATCACCATCATCCTCATCATTATCGTCACTACCATCACCACTACCACCATCGTCATCGTCATCATCGTCACTATCATCTCCACTAATATCACCACCACTTTTATTATCATCATCACCACCACCGTCATTTACATCATCAACATCATCATCATCATCACCACCACCGTCACCTACATCATCAACATCATCATCATCATCATTATCAACACCACCGTCATCATCGCCTTCATCATCGTCTTCACCATGATTACCACCACCATCATTATCATCATCGTCGTCACTACCATCTCCACTACCACCATCATCATCACAGATATCATCATCATCATCATCATCATCATTACTATCATCATCACCTTTATCATCACCTCCACCACCATCACTATCTCTATCATTATCAACATTACCACCACCCCCACCATCAGTTTCATTTTCATCATCTTTATCATCATCATAATCATTATCATTATTATTATATCATTATCATTATTATTATTAATCAGGTATGGAAAAAATAATAATAATAATAATAATAATAATTTTGTTTACGTCGGCGTTCAAGGTTTAAATGCATTTGCGAAGTTTTCTTAACAACAACCGACAACAAACAAACGAAAATTTTAAAAGTTTTGAATTGTTTTTTAAATTTCGACATTGTTATTTATTATCATCATCATTATTATCATTATCATTATTATTACTATTGTCTGAACAAGATGTTCGATTGAACATTGGTTACACAAAACAATGATTTTTTTTTTTTTTTTTTTTAAATTTGATTTTAATTAGACAAATGATGGAGAAGGACGATAAAGGACGACAATGACGACGACGACGACAATAAAAATTCGTAACGCGAAATTTTCCAAATATAAAAATTCGTTGAAGTTAACAATAACAAACGGAACAAACGAGACAAACAAACGAAACAAACGAAAATGACATAACGATGATTAATTACGTATGAATTTTTTTTTTTTTTTTGTATTTTAAGGGATTGTTATTGCGTTTGTCTACAAACGTTTTTTTTTCTTTTTAATTTTACGCGCGTAATTTTAATTTTAAAAATAAATTTTGGAATTTTCGTGGCACTAGAATCGCGAGAGTACGTAAATCTTTCGCGGGTAAAATTTCGTCGTCGTCGGCGTCGTTGTCTTTGTCGTTTTTGTTACCCGATATTAAAAATTTTTTATTTTTCTCGGGGTAATAAAATTACTCGTAATTGACGTAATACTCTTAATGATAATAATAATAATGATAATGATAATAATGATAATAATAATAATAATAATAATGAAATTGTCAATTCCTGGAAACTTGAGAGTTTTTTTTTTTTAGTTTCGAGCAAAATAATTAAAAAAAAAAAAATTTTTTTTTTTCTTCTCTTTGACGCTTTGTCTGGAGGTAATCGTTGTTGTTTGTTTTATCGTTTGTTTGTCTGTTTGTTTGTTTGTTTTATAATTTATTTTATTTAATTTTTTCCTTATTCGCTCTTCACGAGTTACAAAAAAGAAAAAAATTTTTTTCTAAAATGTTTGTCGCGGAATTTTTGTCTGTCCAAAATCGTTGTTAATTAATTGTCGGGTTTTTGTTTTTTCCTTCCAAACATTTTTTTAAATTCACGACTGGAGAATTAAATAATAATAATAATAATAATAATTCCAGGAAATTTTTTTTTAAAAAATAAAACCTACAATTTATTTACGCGCGTAAAAAAAAAAAAAAAAAAAAAAATTTTGCGTAAATTAATTCCGGTTAAATCATTATTATTATTACGCAAAATCGTAAATTTTTTTTTTAATAAGAAAATATTATTATTATTATTATTATTATTATTATTATTACGTAATTATGCGAACGATATTTTTTCTCTCTTTCTCTCTTTCTCTGTCTCTTTTTCCAGTAATCACTCATGGAAATAATTTTTTAATTTTACAACACACATTTCAAATTTGCAAATTAAATTTTTTTTTATGCTTTTTATTATTATTATTATTATTCGTTTTTTACTTTGCCTCTCTCTCTTCTCTCTCTCTCTCTCGCTCTCTCTCTCCCTCTTTCTTTATGTTTATCAATTTCCTCAACCTGATTAATTTTTTCAACCGATTTAATAAATTAAATTTAAACTCTTATAAAGTCAAGTTTTGTTTTCTTTCTTTCGTTTCATTTCCGCTTTGGAATAAAGAAAAAACAATTCATTTCCGGTTATGTTTTGTTTTTTTTATCGTTTCCTCTCTTCCAGGTTCTTGAAATCGATGAAATAATAATAATAATAATAATAATAATAATAAACGGGTAGAAATATCGAATGCGAAAGTAGATATGAAAAATTGAGATTTAAAAATAGCGAAAAAAAAGGAAAACGGATAAACAAACAAAAACAAACAAGATAATCTTTGTTGTGCCTCTAATAATTTTTTAAACTAGAATAAAAATTTTTAATATATGAAATTTTAAAAAAAAAAAATTTAAATTTTTTTTTTGATTTTATCCCGTTAAATTGCCGCCGGCCATTTTAAGTAGGCAAAAAATTTTTTAAAATTAAATTTTCGATCGGAACTAAAACGTGAACAAACATTTTAATTTTTTTCGATTGTTTTTTTTTCGGGGAAGTTGGTGGTGGTGGTGGTGGTGATGGTGAGGAAGTGGAGAGTGATTTTCTAAAACGAAACCGGAAATGGTGTGAGAAAAAAAAAAAAGTTTAAAAATTTGCATCTTTGACAAATCGTTTTGTTAATGCAATTTTCTCTTCTCCTATTTTTTTTTTTTTTTTAATTTTCAAATCGATGAAAGTTTTTTGAATAGAAATGTGAAATCTCTCTCTCTCTCTCTCTTTCTGTGCGTACACGCGTGTGTGTGTGTGCCTCTCTCTCTCTTTGTCTTTCTTTCTCTGTGTGCGTGTTTGTGTGTGTAAATGTGTGCGAATTTGTTTTCTTTTCTCTCCTTCTCTCTCTTTCTTTCTTTTCTGTGTGCGTGTGTGCGAATGCCTTTCACTCTCTCTCTCTCTCTCTCTTTCTCTCTTTTTCTCCTTTTGGGCATATACGTGTGTGTGTGTCTCTTTTTCGTTCTCTATGTGCGTGTGTGTATGCATATGTGTGCAAATTTGTCTTTTTCTTTCTATCTCCTTCTTTACTTTTCTTTTTTCTTCTCTTTTTTTCTTCTTCTCTATCTATCTTCTTCTCTCTCTCTTCTGTGTGTATGCGTTTGTTTGTTTATCTTTTTCTCTCTCTCCCCCTCTCTCCTTTCTTCTTATGTATGTGTATATCTTCTCGAATGTGCCTTTCTCTCGCATTGTTTACGAATGAATTTAAGAATAAAAAAAAATCATTATTATTATTATTATTATTATTATTGTTTTCACAGGTCGATCGATATGAAGGATATGGTGAGGTACGAAATAGAAAAATTTTGGAACGATAATTTATTAGATGATATAAAAGACGAGCACGGAATAGAAATAAAATTATTAATAAAATTCTATCAAGAAAAATATAAAATAAAAATGGCGGACGGAAAAGAATTAATAAACGAATCGAAAATGGTATTAAATCGTACCTGGGAATTATTGAACGTTGGAAAATGGATGAACGTACCCGTCGAAAGGAAACAAGTTTATGCGATAGCGACCTATTTACAGGTTCGTTAATTTTTTCCTTTTTTTGTTATCAAAACCTCGTACGCCATTTTATTTTATTTTTTTTTTAGATTTTGGGACTTTTAGAATCGTCGAAAAATTATGACGACGACGACGACGACGACAGGAAGGTACTCGAAAAATGTTTAGAAATAACAGATTTGGGAATACTTTTGGGTTTACCATTTGGTACCATTTCACTCACGAGTATAGCAGACATACTATCGAATGCATTAAATAAAGGAAAGAAAAGGAAAAGAGAAGAAGAAGAAGAAGAAGGACAGGAAGTTGAAAAGAGTGAGATTTCGATAAAAGAAAATTTTCGAGAATCGTTCGATGATAACGATTCGATTATTATCGATTCAATCGAGTGTCCTTCTCTCGAATATTTTTACAATAATTACATGATTAAAAATACACCCGTTAAATTAACGGGTTGCATGAATCATTGGCCGGCTTTGAAACTTTGGAAAGATTTCGGGTACATTGTCGGAAAAGCCGGATGTCGTACGGTACCCGTGGAAATAGGAAAACACTACGCACACGATACCTACAGTCAGAAATTGATGAAAATATCGGAGTTTGTCGAAGAATATATTAATAATCCATCGAAATCCGCCATCGGATACCTCGCACAGCATCAATTGTTCGATCAGGTAACAATTTATTTATATATATATTTACTTTACGGCCACGTCATCGCATCCTAATAATAATAATAATAATAATAATAATAAACCATCCAGGAAATCGCACTATGTGGGACGGCCCACATTCTTCGGAAAATATTATATAAATAGCACCACCGAAATTCGAGCATTTATCCCTAAGGAATCCTATCGGGTAGAAACCTGGAATAAATGCTTAAAAACCCCGACAAATAAGAGCCTTGTCGTGTTTAAGAGTGACCATAATAATAATAATAATCATTCGTTATCATGTGATTAATCCTCTCTTTAAAATCTCTACAAAAATGAGTATAATGAGAAAAAAAAACGTGGCAGTAGAACGCGTGGGGAAATTCTACTGCCACGTTCCCGTCGGAGACAAAAAATTTTCCGCCCGCTTTTTTAATTATTCGTTAATTCGTTGTGAATATAACGATTGAACGCGTTGTCGAATCGTCGTGAATATAAAAAACAAAAACTACCTCCTTCGACCCGCGAAATTTTTTTTTTCTCTCGTTAAAAAAAATTAAAATAATAATGATAATTTTAATGATAATGATAATATATATTATTATTAACACCATTTCGATGATGATAATGATAATAATGATAATGATAATGATGATAAATAAAGGATAACTGACTATAATCGGTTTAAATAAATAAAATTATCATTAGAATGGTTTTTAATTATTTCATATCGTACCTGTTTTCTTTTTTAACGTGGTAGAAAATAAATAAATAAATAAAAATTAACATAAAATAATAAGTTTTTTTTTTTTTTCTTCTAAATCGAAAGAGAAAAATGTCGAATCACGGATTATTAATAATAATAATAATAATGAAAAGAGAAAAGTTATGAAGCAAAAAAAAAATGGGGAACAAACGAAACTTATAATTTTCGATTTTTTCTTTTCTGTTATTTAAAATTTTGCAAAATTTTTAAATTATCAGTCCGTAAAAACTAGAATGAAAGTGTTGTTTGTTAATATTTTGTTTTGAAAAAAAAATTATAATGATAATGGTAGTGATAATGATAATGATAAGGATGAGGATAACGTATGATTTCTCTTTTGTGTTCTCTTCGTTTTAAAAAATTATTTCCTATGAACACAACTCATCACATCGTGTTTGTTTTTGATGAGTTTAAAAAAAAACTCGTGGAAGTAGAAAAATATACACATGGTAAAATCCGATGGGTGACTCCAGAGAGATTCCAGAAACTGGAAATAATTGTAAAAAATATTGAAAGAAAGGTAGGAAAATTAAATAAGAAAACGAGAACAGAGGAACGGTGCGGCTTTGTGGCTTTTTCTTATATATAAAAAATGTAAAATAGTGTGATAAAATAGTCAAAGTGATCGAACGGTATTGATTGATTGATTGATTACCAATAATAATTAACAATAATGATAATTAAAACGAAGAAAGAAAAAAAAAGCAATAAACAAACTCGCGATTAGGTTGTCGTCGCGATTGTAAGTAGGTTGAAAGTGAATGGAAAAAAAAAAAAGGTACAAATGAACTTTGAATACTTAGAAAACCGGATAAAAAAAAAGAAGGAAAGGAAAAGAAAAAGAAAAAGAAAAAGAAAGAAAGAGAGAAATAAATAAAATCCATTAACTCAATCTTTTATTTATTACAATGTCGGTGGTGTGAGAATTACTGGAATAGAACTTTCCAGAACGAAATACAAACTTTTTTTTCTTTTTTTTTTTTTTTTTTCACGTTTCATTAAAATAAATAATTTTATTGTCGGTTATAAAATAAAAAGAAAAAGAAAAAAAATTAAGGTCGTGGTAGTAATGATGAAATGACGTGGTTGTAGACAAAAAGAAAAAAAAAAATTTACCGTATTTTTTCGGTTTCTGCTTACAGGTACCGGAACTTAAAAAAGACATAATAATACCCGATTATTGTGCATTAACGTTAAAACCGGATGTTGATGAAAATTCCGAAACGGAAATAAATGCATGGTTCGGACCTAATGCCACGATATCACCACTACATAACGATCCTAAAAATAATTTACTGTGTCAAGTTGTCGGCACGAAAAAATTAATACTTTTTTCACAATCCGATACTCAATTTTTATATCCTCACCCGAGTTCCATTTTATTTAATACGTCACGGGTCGACGTAGAAAATCCTGATTTTAATTCGTTTCCGGAATTTAAAAAAGTCAAAACGAAAATGACGTGTTTGTTAAAACCTGGAGAAATGATTTACATACCTCCTAAATATTGGCATCACGTGAGATCTCTTGAAAATAGTTTTTCCGTTAGTTTTTGGTGGGAATGATTATTATTTTTTATTTCAATCCTTTTGTTTATTTGTTTTTAAACTTTTACGAGATGAAAATGCAAAAAAAAATAAATAAATAAGTCAAAAAATATTAAATTAACAATTGTTATGCGTTATTTGACACGGAAAACAAAAAAAAAAAATACGCAAAAATTTGTTTTTTTTTTAAAATAATAATCATTTATTTACGATTGTATAAATAATAGTATAACGTTACAATATAATAATTATTAAAAAATCGCCATCTTGGTTTTTTTTTTTTTTTTTTTTTTGAAACGAATCAATAATCATTTTTAAATAAAAATAAAAAGAAAAAAGTGTCAAAATTTTTTAAAACGTTTACAAATGTCCGCCTACGCCATTTTTATATTTTCACGTGAGATAGAGAGAGCGCGAGAGTACGTTCATGAATCGAAATGAAATTATTATTTGTTTATTGCCACGTTAAAAAGTCGTTTCGATGTTTTCAAATTACACGTGGTTTTATTCTTTTAGATTCTCTCAATTGTCGTTCAGATGCGTCGTTGGAAGGACTCCTCAACCTTTTCATATTAATTCCAATAAAAGAAATTTATCTGAAATGTATTCAACAGTTGAAAAAGGTTGTTTATACACTAATGATTATAGAATATATTTTAGTAAGTATTAATTATTTGTTTTTTATTCAATTATTTGATATTTATTTGTTTTTTGTGTAAGAAAAAAAAAAAAAAAATGTTTGAGGTGGGGAAAAAAAAAAAAAGCATTGGTAAATGACCTTATGTCTTTTCCATCACCTTCCCTCAGGCTATATAATTTTTTCTTAACACGAATTTTAATTTATTTTCTATCAATAGGTTAATCGTAGGAATTTTTTTAAATTAATAATAATAATAATAATTTAACAATTGCATTGTTAAATTACATCATCCTCATAACCATCAAAGCCAACATGTGAGAATTTTTTTTTTTTTTTTTATTTCTTTCACCTACAAGGATTTATATCATTGACACATTAAAATAAAATTGAAAGTTTTTGTTGGTTTTTAAATTTATGTGTTAAATAATTTTATGCATTCAGAAGGAAAATTTAAAAAAAAAAAATTTGATGATAAATCCTTGAACTTTAATTTTCAATTATCATTTTGGGGGCAAAAAAAAAAAAATTGTCGAAAAATATTTCATCGAAAGACAAAATTTTAGTTTCGAATGATTCAATGTTTACTTCATTTTATTTTTCTCTCCCTCTTGAATCTGTTTAAAATTATTCAAAAGTGTGGCAAAAGGATTTTAAAAAAAAAAAAATCTATTTCAGATAATAAAGATGGTCCTATTTCACCATTTCACGACATTCCAATTTATGCAAACAGTTCGAAAAAATTATTCAATATGGTTGTCGAAGTACCTCGGTGGACAAATGCTAAAATGGAGGTGAGTGAAAGATTTTTTTTTTTTTTTTTTTTTGTTAGCTAGTTAAATCGACAAGGAGTGATTGTGATAATTAATTTTTTTTTTAAATAAGTTAATTTGTGTCTCTCTCTCTCTCTCACTCTCTCTTATTACTTACTTTTATTTATTAAACCTTAATAACACCCAAAACAAAATTCAATTTTGTTTTTCATGTTAAAAGTTAACGACATGAGATTGTAATTATTTATATATATATATTGCAAATTTCTAATTTTTTTTTTTTTTTCTCTCTTTTACTTTCATCTTTGTCAATCTTTAATAATTAGAAAAATATAAATAGTAATAATAATAATAATGATATGTTATCTATTTTACATGATTTTTTTTTTCTATCGGTTATCAATTTTAAATTGTGATAAAAGATAAAATCATTATCATTCGACTGACACATATTTTTTAGGAAAAATGAATTTAAACATGACATTATTAATTCTTAAAAATTTTCTGTTGTTTTACTTCCTTCTTCTTGTCGTTTTTGTCGATGATTGTTTGCTGTTGCATTTATTATTGATTTTTCAACTGTGAATAAATTCAATCGAAACAAATGATTTTTCTTAAATGTTCAATTTATTAATATTCAAAATGTAAAACATATGATGAGAGAAAAAAGAATCGATGAATTGTTTATGTTTA